AAAAAAAAAAAAAAAAAAAAAACATTGAAAAAAGTCACTCATACTCACTATTTGAGAAGACTAGTATGACAAATCATATTCAGAGGACAATCGAGATCATTGGAAAATAGAAATGAATTATGAATTAACGCTCCATCTAGAAGCATCAGAATTATATATAAATCATACATGTACAAGCGAAAACAGTTCTGATAAAGCAGACAATTATAGTCAAAATTAGACATGATAACCAAGTCATGTGCAGTGCAACGGACACAGTTAATTCCGAGACGCAAAATACCTCAAACTTCAAAACTTCCTTCTCCAGAGCATTCCGAAGTTGCTCAACCTCCTGGAAAGCATGACGTTAAGGGTCAAGAAAAAAACATAACTCACAAAATCCAATAGAGGTATAAAAAGCTGCTGAGAAAGAAATCTGTAGAATGAAAATAAGTACGGGAGATGGTTTCACGAGTAATCTTCAAGCCAATTAACCAAAGAATAACACACAGTACCTTCGCACGCAAACAAACAAGAATAAAACTAAAAAGGCGTGGCAATTTCGAAAGAGTGGCAACATATTTGGTGGGCGGCAACATCTTCGTATTATCTCTTATCAAAACAAGGGCTACGGGCATGTTTATTTCTCATAAAACTTAAAAAAAAATATCAACCAGAGTAGAAGAACAGAATATCTTTCACAAAAGAGCAAAGAAATAGTTAGTAGCAAAAGTCAGAAACAATAAAACAACCATTGTAATAGGAGAGTAAAGGACGGTTGTCGATAGAACAAAACTACCGAGGCAAGACCGAAAATGACAAGAAATATGCATATACCTCAAATGGCCACCCATCAACAACAAAGACATCTAGAGAATAGCCATCCATAGTGGAAAAGGCATGTGCTTCCTGTATATTCAGCCCAACTTCAGCTAACAAAGAAGTCAACTGCAATGTTTATAACAGTAATTCATTGAGTATCTGCTTTTCTTGAACAAAAAAAAAAGGCATAAAACCTCATATTTTCATTATAAAAGACAAATATTAATATAAGGTTGCACAGGCCTGCTAATTCAACCAGAAAAAAATAGAAGTTTCAACCAAAAACCAAAGAACTCCAATGCACTCAAACATACAGTATATAAGTGGCTAAAGTTAGTACAAACACGCAATCATCCATCAAATGGACAAAGAGAAGTTCAGGTATCAATCTACTCGAGCAAACAGTCACTTGGGGATCATTTAAGCATGGTCAGGAAAGTTACCTGACTGAGGAGCTTTGGCTTGTCATCAGTTGAAAATGTAATCTCATGCATGGGCCTGCAAAGACAGTTACTAGAATAGTAGGCACACGCAAAGTTCAATGCATCACAGGATATTTCATGAAACATTTCAAATGGTCAAATTTATTAATACTTCAAGAATTGAACAGACCATTCAAATAAAATATAGGTTAATGAATTTATTATGATTAGTTTGTCCCAGAATATGACAGTCAGGTTTAGAAATAAACAAGGTGACCATGTTCGGATCAGAACAATACAGCACTGCTAAAAAATGGTATAAAATAAATAACAAGCCTGAACGCTTCATATTCTATCCACTGAAGTTCCAAAACGGCACCCCAAGCAATAATTAGACCACAAATAGAACATCTCAACAGAGACTACCTAGCAGACTTGGCACCAGCGTCTGTGGCGCTGTCCACATCCTGAGCTTCGGATTTGTTGGCTTCAAGTATTAGAGCTTCAACGTTAGGTGAAGAACCAAAGGCGGGTGGTGGATGGATGCTGAATAAGAAAGGGGATAAGGATTAACACTACCCAATAAACCTAGATGAAAACATAAGGCGCAGATGGTTTGAATCACAACCGGGAAAAAATGACAAATTAAAAACCAATAAAATAAATTTTTCAAAAGAAGTGGTCAAATACCTCCCTTTTCTTGGCGGGCGTGAGTGCACAGAATCTTCTGAATTCCCATCAAGGACTGGTACCACCTGTACATGGCAGTATGGTATTCAGTATCGCCTATCTAGATGGCATCAAGAGATTGCACGAAGACTGGTACGTAAATGAGGAAAAAGCTTTGGTGGATCACAAATGATAGAATCAAATGCTAAAAGGTATAACCGACATGATTCAAATGATTATTCTTTCATATAACCCACATTCTGAGTTTATTATAGGGTGATTTAGAGCATCCGCACATATAATGCAGAAACATGAACAATGCGTCTTAACATGCATGAATTATGGTGAATGCAGTACAAATATATGTCACCTGCACTAATCGAACTTCAAAAGCTGGTCTAATAGCAGGATCACGTGCCAGATGCAGTAACCGTTTGTGGGTAAGAACATCTTCAGCCCTCTCAACATTCACATCCATTGCATACCTTCAATTCAGAATCATCAAAACCATAAACGTCGAAAAAGGGTGTCAACCAACTTGCACGAGGATCACTTGTGAGCAGAAAAAAGTAACAGATTATTCCTAGCATGCAGCACCCAATAAAACGACCCATATTTTTTAGTTTGCCATTCACATCAAAATCGAGTACAATAACAACAGAACAACACAACGAAACCACCATTAATTGAACAAATGGGATGACAAAATTCCTCAAAAATAACCAATCACAAAAAACCCAGCATCCAAATCCACGGATTGAGAGAAGAAAAACGTAAATAAATAAATAAATCCCACCCCATTTCCGAATGCAAGAGAAAGGCAAAGCCTGAAAAGACCAACATAAAGTAGATAGATGCAATGAATTTATAGCATGATTTGGGGCGTAAAAGACCAGCTAAGGCAACCTGGCAGGAAGGCGATTGAAATGGGCCCAAAGCTGATCGTCGAAAGACGGCTCCTGCGCCTCCGGATGCTCGGCCTCCTTCAGCCGCCGCAAAACCTCGTTGTAAACCTCCACCTTCTTCCGCTGCTGCCGGCTCTTCCCGGCCGAAGTCTCCGCCACCCTACTCCCACAGCTTTCGTTATCCTCAATCACCATTTTGAGATTCTCAAACGACACATACAAAATTCCCAGCGATTATAACCGCGAATGGCTCGATCACCTCTAAATCCTGATCCAATGGCTTTCGAACCAAAATTTCGCGGAAAAAAAAAAAGAATGAAAATGTACAGCGTCGCGAATAGGATTGCAAAGGAGAAAAGAGGGAAGCAGATTAGATAGATCCCACTAGCGCGACGCTTCGGATAGAGGGTTTTGCGTTCTGAAATTGGTTCATCCATTCCTTTCATAATCCATATCCACTTTCCCTTCTCTACTCTTTCGCCTGAAAAGTAGTTCTCTCACACTAACCTGATTCTGAAATCTAGTGAAGTTAATATATATACAGTTATACACACACGTATATGTGTGTGCGTCATTATAGGTGTGTATTATTATTATTATTATTATTATTATTATTATTATTATTATTATTACATTATGATATTATTATTAAAAAAAGGGAAAATGTTACAATTCCGTCAAGGAATGGTTCTGTGAGAGATTTTAGTCTTTAGATATACATGCGAGTTAGTTATTTTGGATAATTCATGGCTAAAATCTCTCACGGAACCATTCCGTGACAGGATTGTAGTTTTTTCCAAAAAAATAGTATGATTCATCTCATACAAAATTGCATTACAATTTTAAACCAAACATTTTTTTTTTTTTTGCAAGTTGGAAAAAGTTAGGATATGCATACACACATGGGGATCTAGCAAATATAATGAGTAGCGCCTAATTATATGCATACACACATAGTTATTCATACGAGTTTTCATGGTCTTATATCGCTCGATAATAACATCATTCTCAATTTCCGAGAAGGTTTTCTTTTCTACATAACCTAGTAGTCCATATTTAATCAAACATCACTCATCATATTGCTAAATCTATCCCCAATATTATTCATTGCGAAAAATATTATCCTTAATACTATTCATTGCGAAAAATACTCGTTCCATTCTAGTTGTTGCAACCGGCAAAACCAACCTCAAAGTTTAAAGTATCTCTTTTTGAGACATTTTCACAAACACTTTGTTGGCTAGACATTTTTTTAAAACATTTCTTTATATCTGATAAACAAAAATAATATTATAAATTTATAATCAATTGAAAGTCTCTATTTTGGCATATCACACCTTAAAGATCTATAAGCACTTTAGGGATTTAACTTGCAATTTCTACATAAAAAGAATAAATTTATCACTACCTAAAAAAATAAAAAAGAATAATTTTTATCTCCAATAAAATAAATATAAAGGAATTCTGTAACCTCGCAAGTCGTCTGCTCGAACAATTGGACCAAAAATTGATAAACTCTTTTACTATTTTCTCTCTTTTCCCTCTCCTCTTTCCCTTTTTTCTTTCTTTTTCTTTGTCTCTGTTCGTCACCATTGTGTTGTCAGGCTCTCTTTATTATGCAATGTGAAACGTATGTATTTTACGATGAGTGTGCTAAACAATATAAGAACGTAGATAAACAACGTAAATAGCTGAAGCAATAAACCGAAGATGTAAAAACTCTTCAGGGAAGCGTCCCACTTCCCCTAGAGCTCTTTCATTGACAAACCGTTTGTGCACACTTGTATAGTTTGGACTTACACGACTCGAACTCCCTTCTAGCACAGCCACAACTACACACGATTATAAATTACTTCTTCGGCCACGTCCCGTGGACTTTCTAAAAAACACTTAATCCATAAGTGTTAAACACGGATAGTCTGAATAAAAACAAAGAAAAAGAAAACAAAACAGCTACAGTTCTTCGATGTGTAAGAACACAAAAAACTGAACTGAGGAACAAAAAGCAAAACAAAAGACTTGAAGCTCGAATATTGCTCAATGTGCTAGAGTGTCAGCGGCCTTGATTCGATCTTCAAGTAGGGTATTTATACAACTCCCTTAGAGCATCTCCAATGCTCAATGTTGTAGTGCAAATTACATTCCACATTAACACATTTATTAATATCACAATTTTCTATCCTCT